TTTAAACAATTTATATTTTCTATTGTCACAATTTGTTTCCCAGGTAAAAGAAATAAAGAGCCAAATGTCCAAATTTTGATTCATACTTTGAACAGGTTATATTTAGAATTACTTCACAAACCTTACTGAGCAATATCATGACAATAAATTACAAAAATAATACCATGTTAAAAGTCAAACGTTGGTTCATAGTACTACAAAGTATTTCACTGTGATTCCAGACCATTTCAACATGGTTTAGGTCAATGAGAATTTTTTACGCTTAAAGTCATAACATTGGTTTCTGATATTCTACATTCATAAAACAAGATGCGAAACGTCTTAGCCAAATAATCCACGAGCTCCGTTTTGCAGTCTCTGCTCACACTACCTTGCTAATGCTTCTTGTCTTACCATAGAATTTCTAACATCTACATACTTCGTGGATTAACTGGAGTAGTGTTCATTCGGTTTATATGCTCAGAGGTAATCCTTAAATATTGTAACAGAAGTGGAGGACGTTATAAGACTGGTAGAGACTATTGTAAGTTGCTAATTACTCCACATCAGTCACAAATGTCACTTCGAAGTCAATACGAACTCAGTAATTCAGCGGTTTATTTACTCATCTTCATTGTCGTCAGAGAGATCAAGTGTAAAAAAGGCGTCAGTTACCAAAGTGATTACATACACTACACTGCTAGTCTACCACTGCAGCTGGCTCCATCCGTCGGCTGGTGCTCAAGGGGCCTTAATTTGTTTGTTTGTCTGTTTTGAATATAGCGCAAAGCTACACGAGGGCTATCTGCGCTAGCTGTCCCTAAATTAGCAGTGAAAGACTAGAAAGAAGGCAGCTAGTCATCACCACCCACCGCTAACTCTTTGGCTACTCTTTTACTAACGAATAGTATTGACCGTCACATTATAATGCCCCCCCCACGGCTGAAAGGGCGAGCATGTTTGGGGGGGACGGGGATTCGAACCCACGACCCACAGATTGCGAGTCAAGCGCCCTAACCACCTGGCCATGTAGAGTAGAGGTGTTGAATATTTCAAATCTAGCAACTTTTACTAGATGGTCAGTCTGTTTCAAGAATCCCCCGGTATCCTATATACGTTTGTTGCATCTTATTCAGCATTATTTTCTGCGTCCCTTTCTTCTAACACGGACTTCTCGTTTTGCTTTTCTAGCAAATAAAATGTATAAACTGTAGTCGTTAGTTAAGGATCTCTTACTAACGAAAACAAATTTATTAAGTCGGAGAGATGTCGTATAGCTTATTCTATAAAGACATATTAATATCACATCTTTATTGATTGCAAGACCTAAGCAAGCTAATACCAGTATGTAAATGCAAATTATTCATTTATTTACAGATAAGCGTAATAAGCATTTAAGAGCAATTTAAAATTTTAGCGGCTTTTTTTATTCTAAAAAATTACCTCCAAGCAATGAGTGATAATTAATCGCTAATATTATACCATTTATTTTCTCCAATACATATATTAGACACCAAAATAGTGTAAAAAATACGCAGAAAGGAGATTAATTAATTAATTTAAAAAACGCAAAATTCCGGACGCTATTTTGTTTTTGCACTTTGAAGATACAATTAGCGAATATAATAACTTTTAAAGCTTACAAAATCATAAAGACAGAGATGCGTAAGATAAGTCCAAATAACAGCTTTAGCTTTAATAACTCTTTAATAACTGATGAATTATATGTTTATACTTTTGACCATTGGTTCAAGAATGATTTGGGTATTTGTTCTTGTTCTGCTGTTTCTAACCTGAAGTTTTCGATATAGTTAGTACATATATATATATATCATATACAGATATTTATTGATAATATCCAGAAGGTATATTGGAAGCCGATGTTTTAATATAAATAACGGCTTAATCATAGTTTAGTTATCAAAAGATGAATTTTTATAAGTACGTATGAAATGAAAAAACAACAAGAACAAGAAACATGTACTAATATTACACATAAGATTCGATGTCAGAAGCAAGGAAAATAAACCTATAACAAGAAACATGTACTAATATTACGTTTATTTTCCTTGCTTCTGACATCGAATCTTACGCCTACAACAAGAAACATGTACTAATATTACACGTAAGATTCGATGTCAGAAGCAAGGAAAATAAACCTACAACAAGAAACATGTACTAATATTACACGTAAGATTCGATGTCAGAAGCAAGGAATAAACCTACAACAAGAAACATGTACTAATATTACACGTAAGATTCGATGTCAGAAGCAAGGAAAATAAACCTACAACAAGAAACATGTACTAATATTACACGTAAGATTCGATGTCAGAAGCAAGGAAAATAAAGCTACAACAAGAAACATGTACTAATATTACACGTAAGATTCGATGTCAGAAGCAAGGAAAATAAAGCTACAACAAGAAACATGTACTAATATTACACGTAAGATTCGATGTCAG